AACTTCCTGAACAGAACACCAACAGCACAGGCTCTAAGAGCAACAATCAATAAATGGGACTTCATGAAATTGAAAAGCTTCTGTAAAGCAAAGGACACCGTCATCAAAACAAAGCGACTGCCTACAGATTGGGAAAGAATCATCACCAACCCTCTATCTGACAGAGGACTCATATCCAATATATATAAAGAACTAAACAAGCTGAAAAGCAACAAACCAAGTAATCCACTTAAAAAATGGGGAACAGAGCTAAAGAGAGAATTCTCTGCAGAGGAATATCGAATGGCAGAGAAGCACTTAAAGAAATGCTCAACCTCATTAGCCATTAGGGAAATGCAAATCAAAACAACCCTGAGATTTCACCTTACACCCATCAGAATGGCCAAGATGAAAATCTCAAGGGACAACACATGCTGGAGAGGTTGTGGAGAAAGGGGAACCCTTCTCCACTGCTGGTGGGAATGTAAACTGGTACAACCACTCTGGAAATCAATCTGGCGCTTTCTCAGACAACTAGGAATAGCGCTTCCTCAAGATCCAGCCATACCACTCCTAGGCATATACCCAAAAGAGGCGCAAGTACACAACAAGGACATTTGTTCAACCATGTTTGTAGCAGCTTTATTTGTAATAGCCAGAAGCTGGAAACAACCCAGATGCCCCTCAACTGAAGAATGGATGCAGAAACTGTGGTACATCTATACAATGGAGTATTACTCAGCAATGAAAAATAAGGAAATCATGAAATTTGCAGGTAAATGGTGGGACCTGGAAAGGATCATCCTGAGTGAGTTGACCCAGAAGCAAAAAGACACTCACGGTATATACTCACTCATATAAACATACAATATAGAATAAACCCACTAAAAGCTGTACATCTAAACAAACTAAGCAAAAGAGAGGACCCTAACTAAAATGTTCAATCCCCATCCTGAAAGGCAAAGAGAATGTACATCAGAAGAAAATGAAAATAGGAAACAACCTCGGAACCCACTACAGAGGGCCTCTGAAAGCCAGAAGAAAACAGGAAACAACCTTGAAACCTGCCACAGAGGGCCTCTGAAAGCTTCTGCAGTATAGACTGTCAAAGCAGATGCTGAGCCTGATGGCCAACTGATGGGCAGAGTGAATGGAATTTTATGTAAGAAGTGGGAAATAGTAAGAGCTGGAGGGAACAGGAACTCCACAAGCAGAGCAACAGAACAAGATAATTTGAACACAGGGAACTTCCCAGAGACTCATACTCCAACCAAGGACTATTTGTGGAGATGACCTGGAACCCCTGCACAGGTGTAGCCCATGGCAGTTCAGTGTCCAAGTGGGTTCCATAGTAATGGGAAGAGGGTCTGCCTCTGACATAATCTGATTGGCCTGCTCGTTGATCACTTCCCCCTGAGGGGGGAGCAGCCTTACCAGGCCACAGTAGAGGACAATGCAGCCACTTTTGATGAGAACTGATAGACTAAGATCAGAAAGAAGGTGAGGAGGACCTCCCCTATCAGTGGACTTGGGGAGTGGCATGCATGCAGAAAGGGGAGGGAGGGTGGGATCGGCAGGGGAGGAGGGAGGGGCTCATGGGGGGATACAAAATGAATAAAGTGTAATTAATAAAAAAAATAATAAAAGATTTTAAAAAAAAGAATTAGTATGTATCTCCAGAAATGTGCATCATGATTGATAAAAAAAAAATAAAGTAGTGTAAATTGACTTTATGATACTTGTATTACATAGACTTTGTTCATTTATCATTCATCCATCCTTATCTATACATCCATCCACTGAATTCATCCATCCCATTCATCTATCTACCTGTTGGTCCATTAACTTATCCATCTATCCATCCACCCACTCATCCATCCATCTATCCTCTGTCTACCCACTTTCATTGTGTGTGTACACAAAGTTGACTATGTTGTCGGTTTATGTTTAGGTGCCTCAGAAGTCTTCGGTCTACCAGAGAAAGCATATAAAAAACAAGTATCATCTGTGAATGATATTGAAGCAGAATAAAAAAAGGAAAAGGACTGATGAGGCAAGAGTGAAGGGTCAGCGAAGGTTACTTTCAGCAGAGTACATCAGGCAGAATCCTAAGTGAAACAGACAACAGAGTCAGATGAAGTTATACAAGAAGAATTCTGAGCTGACGAAGATTTTTCTAAGACCAGATAATGTGTCCACCAAGTTAACTGAGCTTACTTAGTACTCACGAACACTGAGGGCATCAACTACCTGCACTTTAGAGACGTTTCTTCCTAAAGGGTAGATGGAGAATGAAAATCCTACCTTGGCTATTTCTGTGTTTGTTGGTGGTGCAAGGTGTGTGAGCACATTAGATCAACTCCTTGAAAATGACACAAGGATAAGACAGGTTAATTGTTTATCCACTCAGCAAATATTTATTGGGTACCTACTATATTTCAGGCATAGTCTTAGTCTTAACACTGATACATACATACCTATATGTATATATGTGTGTAATAAATATATATGTGCATACATATATTCTTTATTACAGAAGTTCTGAATCCTTACGAAGGTCATCACAAAGTATATATTCCAACTAGGTCAGGAGAGATAAGAAGAGCTAACTGCTCCCATTTTTAAAACAGTCCAGCAGCATGGCATGCTAAGTGTTCAGCAACCTGTGAGCCTATCATGGAAGTTCTCTCTCTCTCTATCTCCATCTCTCCCTCTCTTCCTCCCTCCCTCTCTCCTTCTTTCTGTCTCTGTCTCTCTCTCTCAGTTAATCTCAGGAGTGTACACATGAAGAAAGAAGTGTAACATTATCAGAACCAATCCTCAAGTCAACAGAATGAATTCAACTGGGCTGTGTTCCACAAGCAAGTCCACATGAATCAAAATAGTCAACAAAGCCCTAAATAAACAATCATGTTGTAAGCAAGCAAGAATTTGAGTGCCTACTAATAAGCTGACTAAATGATTCCTTTTCTTACCCTCAAGAATGCTTCTGGAATGCTGGGCTCATAGCCAAACTTTGGGCAGAGTGCAGGGAATCTTGTAAAAGAAAGGGGAGATAGAAAGATCTGGAGGGAACAGGAGCTCCACAAGGAGAGCTCCTGTTCAAACAGAACAACAAAAAAATCAGTGTAAAGGGGTCTTTTCTGAGACTGATACTCCAACAAAGGACCATGCATAGAGATAATCTAGGACGCCAGCTCAAATGTAGCCCATAGCAGCTCAGTGTCCATGTGGGTGTCCTAGTAAGGGGAACAGGGGCTGTCTCTGAAATGAACTCAGTGGCTGGCTCTTTGATCACCTCTCCCTGAGGAGGGAGCAGCCTTACCAGGCCACAGAGGAAGACAACACACCAATCCTGATGAAACCTGATAGGCTAGGGTCAGATGGAAGGGGAAGAGGACCTCCCTTGTCAGTGGACTTGGAGAAGAACATGGGAGGTGCTGCAGAAGGGAGAGAGGGAGTGGGAGGGGACAAGGGAGGGAGCTACAGCCAGGAAACAAAGTGGATAAATTGTACTAAATTAAAAAAAAATGCATCTGGATCTGAAAAGAAGCAGGAAACTTTTGTCAAACAAACAAACATACATACAAACAAAATGTGAGTTGTTTATTCTAGAAGAAGATAATAAAGTGAACTTCAGATTTTGCTCTATTTGGAGATAATAATAAAGCAGGACTAGACTGTCAGTTGATTGGGAGCTTATTAAAGAAGCTAATCATAAAGTAGCCAATGAACAGGAGCAAGCTTTCATTTACAGTATCTGCTTACTGTTGAACATCCTGTCATCACCTGTTCCCAGACTTTTGTACAAAGGAACCGAGTCTACCTTCCTCAAGAGCTCTCTAGAGTCTCTTACTCCAGGTTGTGTATTTATATTTGTTCCCATTGTCTCCCTTACCAATCTGCCAGCCAGACCTGACTACCATTCAAAACCTGGATGAAGAGGATTGAGCGGTTTCTGTAACCAATTCTGCTCTCCTATGAGGAGGATGAGACAACAGACACCCAACTGTAACCCTAGCAAATCTGGGAATAGATTTTTCCTTTGCACTTAGGCCAAGTGGAGGGTTCTTCAAAGGCATAGACAAGTTGATAGCTGCCTTTCAAAAAGACCCTCTTTTCCCTACCCAGAGAAACACCCCTAGGAAAGCATCAAATGTACTTTTTTGATCCCCAGTTGAACCAGAATCAGAAATTCCAGTGCATATTTGATATAACAAACAGTATCCCTAACCATGATTTCAGTTACCTACTGTTATCTATAGTCCCAAACTGCTACATGGAAAGTTCTAGAAAACACTCTATAAGTTTAAATCTGCTCTGAAGAGTGTGTTGACACCTCTTGTCATCTCACACTATTTTGTCAAAATAAATCATCTTGCCTTAAACTAGAACAGGGTCCAGACCTTAGGCACCTTCTACTGAGGGGTAGGAAGTTGAGAGAAGTAGCCAGATACAACCCTGAACCTCTTCTTGCCCCTGTAGCAGCCTGCAGTGTGCATGACTTATTAGAAAGCCTCATGGTTATAGAGATCATGAATTGGAGTCTATTTTTGCTTTCTGAAGTGTCATCTGTGAACCCAAGAAGCAAATGGAGAAAAACACGATAGCAAACATTATTTTAATATTCAGGCCTGACTCTTAATCTTGGTTTTGCTACTTAGTTCCTATGCAAATTTAGGAGGAATAAATGAACCTTTCTGAGTCCCATTCTTCACAAAGGAAGATAGGGATTCTCTCACATGGTGATTGTGAAGATCAACTGTGATAACCTTTTCAGAGCCTACTTCTGAGGAGACAGACATTCAGTATGAAGTGTTGCTACCATCTATATTAAGATGTCATTGACTGAATTCACATGAAACTGGCAGAGGAATCAGGGGTCAGCGACAGAGTGAGCACCAAAGACTAGCTTGTGACCAACATGGTTTTGTAGCAGCATTCCACCATGCACAACTGCACCCTTCCCTAGAAACAATGGTGAAAGGTGTGGGGAGAGGGATCCACAATCAGAAATGTACCTGGCTGCTGCTTCCAGATGTTCTTTCCTATAAAAAGGGAAAGAAAAAGAAAAATAAACATAAGTGGCACAAAATGATTGTGTCTTGCCTCTAAGTCTCTCTCAAAACTTCAGTTGGAAGCTGGACTAGGAAAAAAGAAACAAAGAAACATTCTGGAAAAAGATGGCGGGTGTGGAGAGGAACCAAAATAGGAGTTGAACTTTGCCACGTGACCCATGCCCCTGCCATCACCAAACTTGGTCCTGTGCTCCCAAGTTTGTCTTAGCTGCTTATTCATCGAGAAAATGGGTGAGTGCCTGCTCAACCCCAGGATATGTTCATTGCTAAACTCAGATTTGTTTTGTGGTAGAGTGAGATCAGAAAATCAAGCCTGGCAAATGTAGTAGCTGTGCTACCACCCCTCCATACCATCACGGTCAGCAGTGCTACACCATGCATATTGGCTGGACAGTAAATTATTACATGTCTTCTCTTGTTGTAAACATTATTTATGGACTTATCAGTTAAGCCTTATAACAACTCTAAGAGTAACTACTATTGTCATACCATTTTTCTGTTGAGAAAGTTTTGGAACAAAGAAGTTACATAAATTGCCTAAGGTCTCAGATGAAAAGCAGTAGAGTTGGAATCCCAACCCTGTCAGTGTGTCTCTAGAGCATGCCCAGTAGTGGTGAAGCACAGTGATGCTGGACACATATTCACTACTCTGAGCCTTTGCTCAGCTCTGCCTAGAATCCTCTACCCGATTCTCCACCTGGAGCATTCATCCGTCTAGTCCACGTGGCTAGGCCTCAATCCAGACAAGGTGTTCTGGCTCTGGGCTCACCAACAGTGGTTTCCTAAGACTGTGATTTCAGAGCTCAGTGTCCTTCTTTCCCCTTTCATCTCCACTGTGTTTCACAGACTCCTCCAGTGCAGACTTAGTCATCATTTTTTGAATAACCTGCTATGAATCAGGTACCATGACAAATACTGTCATGCACTTTCCTCTGTTCATCCTCACAACATCAACTCCCTTGGAAGTGGGCATTGTTTATAGGAGTATTCCTTGACCCAACCTGCAGGATGCAGGTGAGGATGTACCAGAGTATCACATACTTCTCTCTAAAATACCTTTTTCTTCCCAGACACACAATAGAAAAAAAGAACAAGAACTTTGGCAGAAGAATTGGGTTCCCATTTTTGTTTCAGCACGTACTTCAGGATCACATTAGGTATTTGGCACAGTGGTCTGTTCTAACTCCTCACTTGTAAAAATGATCACAGGAAATAGAGAAACAGAAACAGGAGAAATGACACATGAAAATATTTGTTTTGATTTAATGAAATTACTATGGAGTTAGTGTGTTAAATGTTGTCCAACTTTGGGAATACACTCAGAGTCAAGAAACTCTCCTATCTTCTCATGGGTAGTGGAATGTATCTCAATAAAATCATCACTAAAAACATAAATAAAAGGGGAAAATCCTTTGGGAAGCAGGTGAGGAAACGTAAGTGCACCTCTTTTTTCTCTGTCACTGACGTGTGGTGTGGGTAGGCATTCAGGGACACTCTTTTCCCAAAGGACTGCGTCATTTTAGAGTGGTTGATAAAGGAGTTTCTCTAGTGACTTTGTACTTTTATCCTTGAAATAAAACAAGAAAGGAATGTTTCCTCTTAGTTTAAAAACCATTCCCATATCACAACAGCTGTCTTCAGCACAATGTAGACCTCAAGTGCCTGACAGCCAGGACAATGCTGTATTTATAATAAATCAACCGAAAAGAATAGGCCCATTGCCAAGGCCTCGGATGAACAGGAAATGCAAATTGTCTTGCCTCCATGTTCAGTCTGGGTACATGTTCTTGGCTTTGAGTCCAAGGTCATTCTGTTTTCCTAAGCAGGGAGATACTGGTTCATTCTAGGGAGGCTCTGATTGATGCAGTCCCAGCCCCTAATTGATGACAGTGGCAATAGAATTGTAGAAACACAATTAGGAACATCTGAACAAGTCTAATTAAGTTAGAAGGTACAGTGACTAACCCAAGCTTGTTCCTTTATTTAATTATTCTTCTACTGCTTCTTACCCCCTCTACAAGTCATTAGTCCCCTTTGCCTTTTTCAGACCCTCTGTCTTGTCTCCTTTTTCGTGCTTCTATCTTGGCTCATGCCATCAGATCTTCCAGAGAAGTGAAAACCCAGTGAAGGTGAGGCAGGAAAGGCTGTCTGGGGCTGGGCTTGTAAATCTTCAAGGTCGTGGTCAGATTTCACATTTTCATCTTAGTTATGACCACCAATTGTAAAGTTTTAAGTGAGGCAATCAATTCATGAATCCAGAGGCCTTCCATTTCCTTAAGTCTTTTATGATTGATTGGTGAGTGAGTGAGAGTGTGTGTGCATATTATGTAGAGGTCAGAGAACAACCTGTAGGAGTTGGTTCTTTCCTTCTACATGGGTATTAAGCCCAGGTCATTAGCCTTAGTGGCAAGTGCCTTTAGCCACTGAGCCATCTTGTTGGCTCAATTTCCTTAAATCTGTAGCATTAGGTAGTAGTGAAAGCATAATGTTAAATGGAGGCAGTGTTCATAAGCCAATCATAGATTTCATATTGAGTGTATGGGAGAGTTAGGTAGGTGTTGAGAAAGCCACTTACCTACTGTTGGGTTGTATTATGAGTCACTGAAATGACAGGTACTTTCTTGTGGAACATGCTTCAGTGAACATTACTTCAAAGCAGACACAACCCCAGCAATGACCTAACTGCGTCTCTACTTTTTCTTCTAAGTCAAGGGTTTTAGAAGTTCAAAATCTGCCTATATCAAAAATTCTGGCCTCAAGACTATAACATGGAACAACTGAAAAGGAAGAGCCTGATTTTGGAATCCAGGCAAACCATGAGACCATAACACAAATAATAGACCACGGTAATGAAGGTCAGGCATATTCTGAGCACTCAGACAACTGACTACTTGCCTGAAGAATGGGAAAGAAACAACTGATTCATAAAATCTCCAGGTTGCCACCAGGTCAATCCTGTTGGGGTTGGTAGCATAGTATCGCCAGGCAGCCTAAGAAGGAGAAAAGAGGAAATGGAATTACATGGGTATCACATGAAATGCTCAAACAGTATCGTAAGACATTCAAACAACTTTTAAGCTCTTAGCTCCTAAAAATTTGAGTGTCTAGTTAGGATTCAGAAAAGCAGAGATTCTTGGTTTCTGATAGCTTTTTGAAGAAGGAACTTTCTTGACCATTTTTGAGCTACAACTCATGTGGTGAGCTGGGACAGACAGATGAACTGGGATGGAGAGAAGAGGATAGAAATTCTCTGAAAGGAATCATGACTGTTCTTTACAGAAAGTTCTTTGAGACTATCCAGTCGTATAAAGTCTTTTGTGATACATCTGAGTATAAGAGAGCCTGGGAGGTGACCTCCATAGACTCAACTTCCAGAATACTCTGATAGCTCAAGGATTGATGGCATAAAGAAACAACCAGACTTTGAACACTAAGACTGGCTTTGTAACCAGACCATATAGGATGCTATCATGTTGTATAAGCTTACAGACCCTCAGAAGCACCTACTGCAGCTGGATGTAAGCTCAGGGTGTGTGGTAATGCCCTCAGCATTCAGGAAGGCACAGTTGGGACACACTAAACTCCTATTTATTACGCTCCCTGCTCCCAACAGCTCATACAATCACAAGACACAAATTCCCTCTGATGCCTAATAGGGAACGGGTACACCTGTCTTATCTCTGTTATTACTCTTTGTCCAGCCTATGGTTGGTGGAGTAATGGTGATGGACAGGACCAGGTATCCAACATCTCCTATTTAATAATTGTTGATGGCCAGAACAAACTGGTGAAGTAACCAATACTTTTTACATGTTTGCTCTCTTTCTCTCTCTGTCTTTTTTTTCTTCTTATGTTCTCTCTACTGTTGACAGACAGGAGGAGGGTCACAGTTCACTAAGTACCTGGATTGTCATCTATCTCTTTTCTATGGGTCACTGGATCAATCCTCAGGTGGGAAGAAGAATGAGAAGGAAACTAAGATAAGTTACAGATCTAAGCCAAATTTATCACTCCAAAATCATTAGGAAAAAAAATCAGATGTTTTCATCCTTGAGTACTAAATCCATTTTTTTTAAGTAGCTTAGAATTTTGGTGGAAAATGGTAAGGCTGTCACTATCAACACACATAAATTGTGTAGGTAACCATGGTGATGTCTGTAGCCACTCACAAAAGAGAAAATGGGAGCTGGTCCTCTCCTGCCAGGGATGTGCTTTTGTTCCTTCTCTATCTATCTCTGTCTCTGTCTGCCTGTCTGCCTCTCTCCCCCTCTTCACCTTCCCTCTCCCTGTCTCCACCCTTTCTCTCTCTCTCTCTCTCTCTCTCTCTCTCTCTCTCTCTCTCTCTCTCACACACACACACACACTCATACTCACATCCCTGGACCAGTCCTAGCTCACCCGTAGGCATACAGACCTGGATGAGTTCAGCAGCTGGCTTCCTTCTCTTCTCAAAATGCTTCTGACGGTGCTGCTCCTGTACCTTGAGTGCCAGTCCTGAGCCAAGGATGCCCTGCAAAGAGAATTCAAGACTGTGTCAGCTGTACTGGGCTCTCTCAGCACCCCAGTCTCACTTGTGGTATAGCAGAGAATGTAGGGCTCAATGACACTCTGAAGCCTGGGTTGTTGTTTGAACATGAAATGTCACTCACAGGTTCATGTGTTTGAACCCTTGGTTCTTAGCTGGTGGTCCTTTAGGAAGGTTGTAGAACCTTGAGGAGTGGAACCATACTGGAGGAATTAAGTGATGGGAGGTGGGTGTAGGTGGTTTTTACCTTGGTACTTTTGCCTGCCCACTCTGCTTCCTAACTATTAATGTGATGTCACTAGTTGTTTCCTGCTCCTGCCTTCATGTCTTCCTTGCCACCATGTGATGTATCCCATTCAGGCAATATTAAATCTTCCTCTACTTAACAATGCTTCTTGCCAGGCATTTAGGACATAGCAATGAGACAAAAGGTTATGCAGTGGCAATACGAGATGAAATAGAAAAGGGAGAAAACCTACTTCCTTTTGGAGAGAGTAGGGCGTCTGGTTAAGTGAAACAAGCCTGAACCCAAGAACACCTGGCTTGCAATTTGATAGGCACAGTCCAGCTGTGAGACCTTGGGGAAGGCTACTGTCTGCATTCTATCTTTTGTAGAACCATTGGATCATAGTAGATCATAGTACCTAGCTAACAATGATCTCAGGAAAACTTAAAAGATAAACAGAAACTGTCCAGTAAAGGATATGACACAGAACAGCAGCTCTGCACATGATAATTGAATTTTAAAAGATTTCAGCTGCTTCAACTGTCCCCTAGAACATGTACCATAGGCAGAATGTCCAAGAACTGGATCTGCTTTGGTTTCCAGGTGAGACACTCATGTGGACTATGTAGAGAGACACATACATTTAATATGAAAGAGAATCACAGGTGGCACAATAGCCCACTCTTCCTTTGCCAGTTTCACAGGTGAAAAAATAGGTTCAAGAAGATCATAGTAAAAGTCAAATAGCTGGGGAAAATACATATAAGTTGGCTAGTAATAAAGAATTTCTCCAGTTTAAAAAAAATGGGATGGAGGAGCAATGGAGGAATTGCCACTTAAAAATGTGATCATCTCACCTCCCCCTGAGGGGGGAGCAGCCTTACCAGGCCACAGAAGATGACAATGCAGCCACTCCTGATGTAATCTGATAAACTAAGATCAGAAGGAAGGAGAGGAGGACCTCCCCTATCAGTGGACTTGGGGAGGGGCATGTGTAAAGAAGGGGGTGGGAGGGTGGGATTGGGAGGGGAGGAGGGAGGGGCTTATGGGGGGATACAAAGTGAATAAAGTGTAATTAATAAAAGGTAAAAAACATAAAAATAAAAAAATAAAAAAAATGTGATCGTCTAGCTGCATAACAGGGAGCAAGGCTGTAGAACTCGCCTGGCTTGGGTTCTTGACTCCACATCTCAGGAATGTTTACTAACCTTTAATTGTACCTCGGTTTTTAACATATGCTGTTGGCATGAAGACCAAATGAGATGATGCATGTAAAACATTTTGCATGATTTGGGTGCACAAAGAGTCCAGTATGAGCCTTCTGTTTTCATTCTCATTATACCACTTTGGGGGGTGGAGAGTTATTCTTTCACTTGTCAAGAACTACTCTTGAGAGAAATGAAAACATTAAAAAAGTTAAGGTAGCAATTGTCAGACCCCCAACCCCCAAGGAAATTCAGATGTGAACAATCTGCTCCATATAAGGTTTTGGGCCTCAACCTTGATGAAGACAGGCCCTGACTCCCAACGATATCAGTCCTTGAGGGTAATCAGAGACAGAAACCCATGTGGGGTCAGAAAGCCCATGGGAGGGGGCTACTGACTCAGATGGAAGATGGTCTTAAAAAATCAAGGGGCCATTAGAGACCACTTATGCTTCAAGGAGGCAGCACAAACCATGAGGAAAGGGTGAGACACTACCATACCGGAGGTAACAGCTGGTGAAATGATAGGATATGGAACAACAAACTTAGAATACAAGAAGGTGAAATTTGAGGCTCAGGATTTGAGCTGAGTCTAGGCATTAAGGGTAACTTCCTGTCACAATCAGAAGGACTTACCGCTGGAAGGGCGAAAAAGGAGACACCAATTAAAGAAAAGGTGGCAGCAATCAGACGTCCTTCCCAGGTTTTAGGTGTCTTGTCTCCATAGCCAATGGTGGCCAGTGTGATCTGAAGAAGAGAAGAGGTCAAACGGGTTTTCCTCAGATAAGGGAAATCAGTGGTCGTCAACTGAGCTCTGCCTCTGAGCCTCTGTGCCTGCTTGCAGGTGCTGCTCCCATTTACATACAAGATTCCCATAGGAGAAAAGGTCCCAAGTAGTGCCTAACTCATATAAGAGCCTGTTTCTAAGTTAGAGGTGTCCGACTTAGAATCTGTCAGTCAGCAGATACTTCAATAATTGCAAAAGTGTAATGAGGGTGTGTGTGTGTGTGTGTGTGTTTGTGTGTGTTTATGTACAGTTGCTCCTCTATAACCATGGATTCCACATCTTTGGATTTAACCCACTATGTTTCAAATTGTTTCAATAAAAACAAATGACAACAATAAAAATAATACAAATAACAACTATAACACACCAACTCTTTACATAGCATTTACTTATTATTAGGACTAAAAGTGATCTAGATTTGATTTAAATATATGGGAGGATGTGTGTTGCTCATATGTAAATGTTGCAGTGTTTTCTAGAAGGGATAAGCATCTATATATTTTGACATGTTAGAGAAGTGAAATAAATTGAAATCAATTTCCTGTTTACACCAAGGAATTTTTTTGTGTATTTGTGAATGTGTGAATGTATGTTCAGCCATGTTAGGAATTGTGTTTGTGCATGTATTTGTGTATATAAACATGTGTGCCTGCCTGTCTGTCCTGCGGAGACTATATTACCAGTGTATGGTTATGTTTATCCAGATGCAGTTCACAACACCGTGGCCTCTGCAGCCCATTTGCCTCCCTTCAAAACTTATGTGCCTTAAGCTAATTATTAAACCCATTTACCTTCTATGCCTCCCATTTCTTATCTCAGTTTTCTAACTTTTTCAAAGAAGGCTAATAACAGGGTATTTGGGTTCCCAGTAAGTAGTGACTGCTCAGCATAGTGATGTGGAGCAAATTAAGGCTTCTGTAAGTGCCAGATTTAATATCTTTGGGTGTGGCTATGCACTTCTGCATGTATCTTCAGGTCTGCGTGCTATGAATATATATGATCCTGTGCCTTTTGTATGAACATAGCTTGGCTGATGACTGTCTCTAACTAACAAGGCCAGGTCCCAGATAACCATGCAAATAGACTATTCTGTGCTCTAGTTTCTCACAAGCTTTATGAAAAACTATTCTCAGTGCATTCCTTATCGGTAAAAGCTTTTTGTTTCCTCTCTGTAGATTTGGAGGTGGAAGGGGTCCAGTCCTCACCTTTGGATGCAGGAGAAAGCTGACTTGAGTGCACCCATGCTCTGACTTTCACCTCCCTGTGTACCCAGCAGTCAAGTCTCCATACAAGCACCCTAGGGTTGCCTTTCAATGATGGTGACTCACCAGCCCCCACCAAAGAGCATCTGCATAGGTCTCAAACTCCTCTTTCATCTCCTCTCCTTGTGCGTCCACCTCCGGCACATCCTTCTCCACCAGGTAGACAAGAAATGAAGAAAGGATGAGTGTCAGGAAGCCAATGTACCAGGCAGTGATGAGTTCCTAGAACAGTAAACAACAGAGGGAATCAGTAGGAAGCCCTTGGAAGAAACTTGAGCCAGGCAGTCTGAAGTCTTCCATGTTTACCTGCTCTGAATTTCACCTCCCATCAGTGAAAAACAGGAGCAAGATTACGGACACTTACACCATTGATTACTGGAATGTTATAGGCCCTAGGAGAAGAGGAACACTACATTTTAGGTGACCTGAGGTCACAACTCAGGAGGCTTCATGAGAATTTGAGTGGTCAGGAGAAACTGGTTATTGCCGAAGATAAGCTTAGACTTCCAGTGACTTCATGTGTCACAGATCTGCATGGAGGAGGGCAAAATCTAAGCCCCATTGGCAGATTACTGGCAAAGGGCAGCTTGTGTGTCCTAGGAGAAAAATCTGTCCATAGACAGGAACCCACCACTACCACCATTTCACTGTTTGATCCAAGGGAGAACTATGCTCTATTTTCTATGTGCAACAGCCAAATTTTCAAAATAAAAGAAACAAATAGAGGAAAAGTGTCCTGTAGGCGTGCCAGAAACCACTGGTGGAATTCACACAAACCATTTTATGTTAAGTGATCTTGCATATAAGAATATGTGAAAAATGAAACATAAGAGACATATGGGACCTGTTATTTCATGGATGCTGTCACACCATAAGGAAGAAAAAAAGGCCAAGTTGATTAACTGAAAGGAAATGCTACAGTCAGGAGAACAGAGAGTTGCCAATGACAAGCCAATCCCTGGTGTGATCCTTGGGATGAAAGAGATGATCTCTGTTGTCCTCCTGCTGAGGTTTAGCATGATAGACTGGGTGGGAGGAAGTCTAGATTGTGTTCTTACTGAGACCTCTCAGAGACCTGTTGTTGACACAGCTGCCCTTCTCATGGCGCTCTACTACCAGTCTGCTGCCTTTGCATCAGGGAGTCTCACTAACAGAGTTGTCTCAAGCCTCCCTTATCACCTAGTCCCTGCTACCCACACTCAAGGGCCGAATGAAGATCTCCAGTCATCTGCTTTCACCTCTAACCTTCATTATAGTATTTACCCCATTAGAGAGGGTGCTGTGGTCTGAATGGGAACTACCCTTCACAGGCTCAGGTCTGGAACACGTCTTTCCAGGCTGTTGGTGCTAATTTGGGAAGCCATACAAACATTAGGAGGTGGGGCTTTGCTGGTAGAAGTAGGTCACGAGGGGTGAAACTGAAGGTCTTCCTTGGTTCCAGATTCCTGTCTTGTTCTCCAGTGCTTGGTTGGCTGTGATGCAAACAGACTCTGGCACACAGCCCTGCTGCCATAGCCTCAGTCGCTCTGCCAAATCTTGCCCACAACAATGGACTGAAACTCTCTGAAAATGTAAGCCAAAATACATCTTTCCTTCCTCAGTGTTTTTTGTCAGGTGTTGTGTAAGATCAGCATCAAGCTAAGAGGGAGAGTTCGGTGGCGTTTCCTATGTAGCTTCGCTGTTTTATTTATTTTTTAATCAATCTGCTTCTCTAACGCTTTTAGGCTACTCTGCTCATAGACCTACCTGGCCCCACAGTATCATATGTACACTGCACTCATGTATGTTCACATGTGCAAAGATGAATGGTATCGACACCCGAGTGGGAGGTTTTCCTCTGAGGGTCTGCCCTACAGAGGATCTGAGAGGGAAGAGAATTGCTGAGTCTTTCCCCAGGGGTTGTCTGAACACACCCCTATTGCTTTGTAGACTGCAGCAAGGAATCTCTGCTTCCCTGGGCTCCTGCAAGCCAAAAGATTCATTGGTTGCTTCTTTAGAAACAGCTGCTTGATCACATGCATCATGCAGATACACCAGCTGTGCTGGATTATTAGGCAGTGGTATAATGGTTGACATTGGGAGTTAAAGTGGGCTTTGCAGCCATTTAAGACACTATTCAAGGGAAACCTGACTTTGTATAATTTTCACCAGCAGCTCTGTGACACAGCCTGTTCCCTCAATTGCCAGGGATCCCAGCAGGTAGCCTTGGGATAAAGGGATTGGGACTGGTGTCTAACTACTGTAAGGAAGCAACCAGAGCAAATCCTTTCCTGTTTTTAAAATATGCTCTGTGGAATCTGCAAGGCCCTCTTTTTCTGCTTTGGTGGCTCAGGACTCAGTTTCCTGATACATGAGACCTAGCCAACATACCTGACACTGGAAATATGAACTAGCATTATGCACTAGGTTGGTAGAGACATTGGGGCATATTTGTCCTGGGAGAGGTGCTTAGCCTGTCCTAACTACAGGATCAATATTAAAAGTCTCAGCCAGGTAACCTGGGATTCTAGCTCTGTATTGAAATTAGTCTGTGACTCCCAAATTTTCCCTTCTGGTCACATGATGCCTTGTGCAAGCTCGCTCTACCCTTTTAACCACATGGGAGTACAGATATTACCCCTGAGCTTTTGAATCGTAAATGGTAATCCCTACTTCAGAAATGAGAAAACGGAAGGCCAGTGAGGAGTAAATGATTTAACCAGAGTTATTTGCATATAATGGAAGTGAGGTGAGACATAAGCCCAGGTCTGCCTGTGGCTCACATTTCTCTTGACCACATCTGTATATGATTCTCTCTCTACTTCCTCTTTCTCCTTGTTCTTAACATCATCACTGTCAGTGTTGGCAGCATGGCTACCCTCAGGGACACTGTAGGAAGAGGGTGCAGTAGAAAGGTACAAGTAGGAGAGAAGCCCATTTTCACTTCATGACTTCTCTGTAACACTTACTTTGCTGTGGGCACAGATAGCCGAACCCAGGAGCTTCCAGGTGCCACCCCTCCTGTCCATGCGAAGCATGCGCAGGATCTGCAGGAAGCGGAGGCTTCGAAGGGAGGTGGCAAGGACGTTGCCCTGGTTTCCCACGGCAACCACTGGCACAGAGGCAATCAGCACGAAGATGTCTGGGAAAGAGGACAGACCGTGGCAGAGAACCGTGAGAAGGTCATGCGGAGAAAGGACCTGAGCACACCCACTGTCTAGAGGCTGATGAACCTATGTCAAGTGAGGGCTGGTCTAAGCAGTTGTGTTGAATGACATCAACCAGTAGTGGTAATGGATTATGTTGTTAACGATGAGGAGATAAACCTCTGAGTATCACGGTCTTCCCAGGAGCTAGGGAAAGACCTTGTTAAACTCTGCCTCTGCTTCTAAAGCTCAGAGGTACAATTTCTCAAGGACACGTGCAGGGATCTTGGTATTTGGTATCAGATGAGTTGTGGAGAAGAGGAAACTGGGGGTTTCTCAGGCTACAGAAGAGAATCCTGATGCCCAGACACTGTCTTAATGTGGTTTTTCTGAGTAAGCAGGACATGAGATGTGAACTTGGGTGTGATGTACTGAGTGAGTCCAGGGACTCTAGAATCTTCTAGAACTGTGGCGTTAGAGTGGCAGAGTGGTTTGAATGAGAATGGATCCCACAGGCACATATGTATGATTGCTTGGTTCTAGTTAGTGGAACTGTTTGGGAAGGATTAGGAGGTGTGGCCTCGTTGGAGGACGTATGTCACTAGGGGAGGTGGACTTTGAGGTTTCAAAAGCCCACCAGTCCCAGTTTCTCTTTCTTTCTGCCTGCAGATCAGGATGTAGGCTCTTAGCTACTGCTTCAGTGCTAAGCCCATCACTGTGCTCCCCACCATGATGGTTATGGACTAACCTTCTGAAGCTGTAAGCAAGCCCCCTATTAAATGCCTTCTTTACAAAGATGCCTTGGTCACAGTGTTTCATCACAGCAACAGAACAGTCATTAAGACCAGTGGGATCTGCCGCTCACCAGTTATGAAACTGGAAAAAACTCAGTTCTATGAACTTCAGTTTCTATCTCTGTAAAAGATTGACAGAAGTGTACGGTCAATCACCAATGGTGTGACACTTCCTATTCCTGTTGGCTCAGAAGACACAGGTGATTTGAGTCATGTTGGTGACTGACAGAGTGTGCCACTAGTATACGTACTGGGGGTACACACTACCCAGTGCTCTGTGGTTTCTGCACAACCCAATCGCAACAATGAGCCCAGTCCCCAACCCCTGAGAACCACTACCTGTCTAACACCTTAAGGAACAATTCCAGGAAATGAATTTTCAACAGCGGACATTTTGGCGCCCTCTGCACCAATAAAATGTCCTTAGAGAAATACTGTGGGTTATGACTGAGGCCACTACTAGTCCCAGTTGTCAGGGCTTACCCAACATGCACAGAGGCTTCCTGGCAAACTTGAGCCGTCCACGCCAGCCTTTGTATCGACAGCAACACCCAGCGGCCCATATCCTCAAGGCAAACTCAGCTCCAAAGATGAAGATAGCAAATGTTTCCTGCATGGAAAGCATATAAACGGAATGAGGTTACCTGGTACCCAGTGTTAGGACTACAGAGCCCAGAGGAACTGGGCTTCTGTTGCTGCTGCCCCGGTGGTGAGGATGCTGTGGCCAGACAGGGAGGAAGCACAGGTTGGCCATTGTAATGTCTCCTGTCTTTATTTTGGCATATTAACTATCTATGCAGACTGAATACATGTCTGTGCCTTCCTGGAGATTCCATTTCAACTATTGATTTCTAAAGTCCACTGACTGTATTAAAATCCCCCCAAAATAAAGTCAACAGAATCCTCTAACCCTATACAGAATGCTCGGACACTGTTATTACTAGCTATCCAGCATTTCTCATCTTAGATTGTGAGCCAGGCATCATTCCCTGGGTTTCTTAGTACCATCTTCAGTTTACATTCTGAGAAATCAAAGGAGGATTCGCATTTAGAATGAAGGTGAACTTTCAGAGGACCAGAAAGCTGTGCTTTATCATTTAATACATAGTTTCAGCTTGGACTTGTATGCCCCTTATTTCTGTCTGGAACAATGGATCATGAAGAAAAGGGCTCTGCCTATGGCAGGCCGGACAAGGCAAAGGGGGTACTGTTTTTTGTTTTTTGTTTTCTTGGACCTAGACTTGACTTAGAGACATTAGGAGGCTGCAGTCTAGGAAAATAGTTTCCAGAGGTTGACCTCCTCCAGCCGAAAGTGACCACAGCTTCCATTCCAGCATACAGTCATTACCAATGGCCTGTAACTCACCAGCAGCAAAAGCCAGTCTCCAGACACGGTCTCGTACTCCTTGAAGGTGGTAAGCACGGCCAGAATCAAGCATCCCAGGACAATCAAGAACCTAGAGGGAAGGAAGAAGGAAGGGAGGAGCTTTAGTCCTGCGTGGTCCAGCAGGCAATGACAAGGATACTGGAGAGTGTCCCATGCTTTATATGCTCTTCCATTTCTTCAACCCTTAAGGTGGGTAAGATGATGAAGAAGGCTGAGAGAGGTTAAGCAAGGTGCAGGCCGTTACTTAATGAGCTACTTGACTGAATCAGTTACTTAGACTTTTGAATTTTGGGTGTCTTGGAATACATTTTCTGATTAATAAACCTTACGATCTGCCAAGCGAAATCGGCACTTCTAGGAATTTAAGCACAATGACCAGCCTCTTCAAGCTATTAGGCCTTTTAATTGAAATGAATAACTCCAACCTGGGTGTGAAATCTACCGACTCTGAGCCCCAAATCCTTTTCTCAGGGGATAACGAGGGTGATGGTGGTGTTGGTGTTGGTGGTTCAACACTAGCGCCTCTCACCACTACCACTCACCATTTGGTCTGTACCTGTCACCTGCCACTTCAATACATACCAGCTCATCATCCTTACAGTGACTCTCAAGGTCAATATGGCCATTTCCCTTCTGCAGGATTTTCAAGATCAACATGGTATAGGAAACATGTAAAATCTTGGTCCTACAACCCAAAGCACCAACCTCAGCTCTGTGAGATTTGCTATCAGTTGACATTGAACAAGCAATTGTATGGCAAGGATGGATTCATGTACAAAGAGAAACCTGGTGTCCCTTGAGAGATGAACTCATAGAGCAGAAGTAGAAGCTTTTATTGTGGTGTCAGACTCTTCTGCTATATTGCTTCTGGTATGCATGTAAAGATGGCATGTAAAGATGACTCTACAAGATGGGCATGAGTATTCCCAGTGAATTATACTCCTATATGGTCCCCGCACTGGAGCTCAAGCAGCCACCAAGACTCATTCCTCTTTTACTTATTTCATTATATGGCAAAAACCACTAGATAAAGATTGGCTAGGATCAGAAGGAAGGAAAAGAAGTCTTCCCCTATCAGTGGACTTGGGGAGGGGCATGCATGCAGAGGGTGGAGGAAGGGAGGGATTGGGACAGGAGGAGGGAGAGAACCACAGGGGGGATACAAAGTGAATAAAGTGTAATTAATAAAGAATAAATAAATAAATAGAATACATCTTCAAAAGGAAAAAAAAATGATTGCCTGTGACCATGGTAAGTTTCATGGATCTCCATCCACACAGACTGGAGATAGAGAACCTCTTGCTGGCCTTGTAAAGGGTCCACAGGGGATACATGCAACAAGGAGCTGCTGTGGCTTGTGGGATCTTACCTCTGCTCCCAGTTCACAATAACATGAAAGTTGGACCTGCCCTTCCACACCAAGTATTGGTTATCAGCTGTTCTGTGAGGGCTCAGTGTAGGACTCAGTTAGACTACTGATGCTCAGAAGCTGTGAGCTACAGAAAGGAATGCTATCATTACAATCCACCAAGACAGTGGCGATTTTTTTACGCAGTGATAGAAAATTTAGTGTCGGATGGCAACCTGCCGAGTGCATCTAGCTTTCAGAGTTGGATGATGATGTGGTCTAGGTTGCTTGTCTTGTCACACTCCACTCCCGGGCTGTGGGGGCTGTACCAGTTCCTGTCCATATCCAGTAACTAACTCAGGGCTCTGGGCTCCCAGCTCCAAGTGACCCACAGTTGTGTAAGGAAGGCATTAAAGTGACTTCCGTAATCCCCTGTTGCTGGACCTAAAGACACTGGATACACACACACACACACACACACACACACACACACACACAGTATCTGTATGTAACAGATTCCCTTAATCCGTGGTTTGCTTTTTGTGGTTTCAGTCATTCATTGTTAGCATACTCCGAGAGTATTAAATGTAAACTCCAGAAATCAGCCATCGATGGACATCAAATTATTTGATTACAATTTATCACTGTAGGCGTTCTACTTTATGTTAGTTATTGCTAGTACTCTCTTACCATGCTTAGTTTGTAAATTAGGCTTTATCGTAGGCATGCAGAATGTAGAGAATCACATGGTATAAATAGTTTGGTTGTAGCTACCATTTGGGCATTCACCAAGCATCCTAGCACATTTCAGTGACGGACAATGGAGAGAATCAGCTCAGCAAGTACTGTGGTCAGTGATTGCTGCCGTGGCTGGCAACAGTGGAAGGCTGAGGAGATAAGAGCCTCCTGAAAGTGAATCCTCCTGGTTTTCTTAGCAGGACTAAAGAACATGATGGGGAAGAGTTGGAGGAGCACACTGGGGATCTTGTTACTAGGAAGTAACAAAAACATGGCAGAAGGCTGTAATGGTGGCCTCTGGCCCAAGAAGATAAGAAGCTCCGTGTGGACCTACTGAACTTGAGGTCCAAATGAAACTCTGCATCATTCCCAATCAAAATACAAGTTTAAACTTTACAAGAAAGGTTGGTATCCTATGACCCCTGAAGTCTGGGGGACATCAACAAATTCATTCAGCCGGCAGCATGCAGAACTTAAACTTTCCAGCAGGGGGCAGACAACAACCACACAACTAACTATGCACCAGTGTCATTGGGATCTACTTTCTGAGACTGGAGAAAGACCAGTAATTTACAGAACTCAAATCATCGAGGAGGCCTTCCTAACCCCGAGAAGAAGAGACACTTTTCAGCTTCTTGCAAAGTTCAAACTGCCTGTAAAATAATGCGATTTCAGCAGTCAGTCTCACCTAGCCAGAGAAGCCAGAGGTGACTAGGCCACAGCACCTGCCCTCCACTTTCCTTTCTGTCTGGTGTGCTCTGGATGCCCCACTAACTTTCCCTTTCCTTCTCTCCTTTGCCATTTGCCACTCTGGGCTCCCTTTCTATAGTCTCAACTGCTTCCTCACCCCCCACTACCTCACTCATCCAGATGTCTCTTCCTCTGTTCCATGCCACCCTTTCTCTGTTCTGCATTTACATCCTCTCCCTCCCCTCTGTGGTTTTCAGTCCCTGAACAAGAGATCTGGCCGGAGATTCCTGTGGAGAACTACCATGGCCCTTCTGTCTACAGCACCAGGCTGTGTTTGAAAGCAATGCTGGTTAGTGTCAATGCTGTCCTATGCCCTTCACCCGGACACTTGTCTTCTCCATGTTTCTCCCTTTGGACTTACTCTTGCTTTATTCTCTACCATCTTTCAGCCAAGCTGGAGCTAGAACCACACACCGTTTTGATCTGCATGGCTCAGGGGAGCAGTACAAGGCCCAGTGCGTCCTGTCCAGGTCCACTCAGTACCAGACTTCCACCAGGCAGCACCCAGGAAGACCCAAGCAGCTTTTCAGACAGGGGTGCGAAGGAGGACTTGCCATAACACTGAGATAAGGAGATAGAAAATACCCACATATATGTTGCCTTTTCACATGTTTTTTTCTTTTTTTTTTCTCCTGAAAACAAAAGCGGGGTGGAGGGAGGCAAGGCTTGGAACTGTCACTACTTTATACACATGCTTATGTAGATAAGACACAAGCTTCCAAACTCAGGTGGCAGTGTCACTAAGGGAATAAGAGATACACCCCTTTGCTGCAGGCCATAAGAAACCTTGATGTAGAATCTTCTGGGAACAGCACATTAGAGGATGACACCTGTCCACCCCACTTAAGTGGGAGGACATTTCCTCTTCTGCTCCTCTGGACCTTCACATTTGGGAAGACTTTCATTAGGGACCCTTGCTGGTCCCGCTTTACTTGCAGTTGTTCTGGGGCAATTTTCCATCATCATTGGCCCCAAAATGTCCTTCAGAGACAGGGAGGCAGGCAGCAGCTAGACCCACTGGATTAGGGCCTGCCATCCTAGACAAATGCAGACAGACTAAACTAACAGAGCAGGTGTGGCTGGCTACCTCACACCTGGCCTGACCCAGGGGCCATGGGTCCTGGCTCAGGAGCAGATGAAATACTTCCAAAGCAAACAGCACCTTCAGACCACATGAGACTCCTACTTGTCTTTCAGTGAGATCAGTCAGAGGTAAAGCACCCACTGTGTGCCAGGTTGTTGTTCTTTTGTTTGTTTTCATGATTTTGATTTTGATTGACATTTAATACTTGCACAAATTTTATGAGGCTTAGTGTGGTGCTCTGATTCATGGAGGCAATACTGTGTAGCAAGCAACTCATGGTAACCAGCATACCTTCTTAAATGAACCATCTATTGGTCATGAATACGATCAAAATAGACTAAATGTGTTTTTTTGACTCCTCCCCTTGTGCTGCAGAACTGTAGAACATATACTTCTTATGTAACAATATACTTATTGACCAACTGCTCTCTTTTCTTCTCCATCTTTTCTCCAGATCCAGTAACTACCAATCTACTCTCAACTTGCATGAGGGCAAACTTTTTAATTCACATATATGAGTGAAACTATGAAGTCTTGGTGTCTTTGCACCCAACTTATTTCATTTAACATAATAAGTTCCAAGTCCTTCCATATTATTAGAAATGACATAACCTCATGCATTTGGTAGAAGAATAACCTACTACTACATAATAAAAGGCAAAACCCAAACAAATACAATTATGTCAATCTAAAAACACTGGCAAAGGAATAAAAGAGTCAAAAGGCAATCATTTATCTGACTGAAAAAATACTTGAAACTATATGTCTGACAAGGAATTAATAATATCTAAAATATGTAAAGAACTCTAATGATTCAACAACAACAAAAATAAAATATCCAGTCAGAATATGGTTGATGAATGGTTGTTATCTTGCTAACTATAGTATGGACTGGTTGAGACTGCCTGGAATGTGGGATTCAAACAGCTGACAACTTAACTGGAGAAAATGCCATTAAAACTGGTAATGTTTGTTGGGCAAGGGACAGTATTAAGAATCTGCCATCCCCTAGAGACATGGGCATGAACTCATAGGCAATATTATAATTATTTCCCTAATATTTCCTTCTCCTGACACTGTTCATTTTGTACCCTGACCCCATGCAGCCACAATATTCAAGGTACTCAAAAAAGCTTCTTCTTGTTCCTTT